CCCCCCCCCCCCCCCCCCCCCCCCCCCGTAGACTCCACCACCTGTTATCACGTGACCAAAGTCCCCGACTCGCACATCGTAACCGCTGAGCTACATTGATGGACAATACTCTAATCTGCTAAGGAAGACCTCGATAGGTGGTGAAAAGCTCCCGGAAAAGTTAGTAAGTGGACCTTGAGTTATGTTTTGTTTTCATTTGTTTTTCAACAAAATGTATTTATTTAAAAAAAAAAAAAAAAAAAAGAAAATTCATAAAACAGCTGATCAGTATAGTTTTTATCAAACATTACTCAAACAGGAGGAAATGGTGCGTTTGTTTTATATTCAGCGGCGGATTATTCCACATTTGGTCTACTGGGCATTTGTGGCAGCAGTACGTGGGTACGAGTGTAAACAAACTACACTGTGTATATGTTCATTAATGAAGGAACATGGCAGCCAGAGCTACAATGGCTTTGATACACACAATCCTTGTTAGTAGGATCAGTCATTGTTGGTTTGAGTCTTTTTTTAGGATTTGATGGCACTAAGAAGAATATAGAATAACACCAGACTTCTATTTTAATCGGTAGTGGCATTCTGAAGTTGATCCGGTAGCACACGGGTACATTTGAAGCTCTAATTAAATCATTTCTCTCCTGATTTTTAGCCCTGACCTTTAGGAACCTTCACACCTGCTGAAACATTCAGTTGTACTCTGGTGGCACTCGTTGCAGCCGGTGTGAAGTTGCCTAATGCGGCATTAATGAGCATTTGAAGGCATCGTGCAATGCTAATGTGGCAACGAGGCCTTAAGCGGAATTAATTTGCCTGTGAAGAGCTCCTGTAGAGGAGACAGAAGTAAGCGAGCAGTTCTCGTGCACTCAAGCGCTCATGTCTGGCTTTACACCGTTCACATGTCGTGATGGAGGAGGGAGAAATGAAACGAAAAAAAGGTTTTGGGTCAGTTTGAAATAAAGCCTTCTGATTCTGTTAGCATCAGTGTGTTTGAATGTACTGCACATGTCCCCAGTTGTGTTTCTGGTCAGTGTCCACCTGGCTCTACAGTGTGTGTGTGTGTGTGTGTGTGTGTGTGTTAGTACATCGCTGCTGCTATTGCTGTTGCTGCTACTGCTAATATCGTTGTTGCTACTGCTGCTTCTCATGACCCTCCCTCCCCCGCTCCGCCTCCCTCTGTCCACCCCCGACTCATCCAAAACTAGAAATCTGACCCTCTGCAGTCAAAAGCACAAGTACTGAGACAAAACCTGGTCTCGTTTCCCCGTATTAAAACATATTTGTTCCACACAAAACGCGGGCGAGTCAGTTGCGGTAAGATTTGTCCCAACACTTCGGCCTTTGACTGCACAGACCTGCTTTCGGAGCCTGCGTTTCTTTCCTCCTCCTTCTCCTCCTCTTCTTCCTCTTCTGTTGTTTTTTTCCTCTCGCCTCGTTCTGTCCGCGCAGTCATAGCTTGTAAATTGAGGATATAAAGATGAATTTTATGTTTTCTACAAGGAGGTTTTGCATGTTACTATTATGTGAGTAAATAAGGTGCCTAATGTTCATGTTTGAGCAGACCACACCTCAGTCGAACTGCTGCTTGGAATCCCTCACAGGCCCTTGGCGTCGGGCCGACCGCTTGTCCGGCAGAATGGAACGGACGAGAAAAATTGTTTTTTTTTTCGGAGACGGATCATTTGTGGTGTTCTGTGAAGCCGTGGACCGACGTCACGGCGGGGACTTTTCAGGAGTCCGGTCTGGGTTTCTCACTCACACTCTTGAGCTCCTGCTTGATTACAGACAGAATCTCATCCTGCGAAGAAGTGGACAAAAACAAACGTTTAATTCAAGCGCCACATAAAACTACAAATGTTGGTGCCTGTGTCCATGTCAACAAAACTCTAGCCTTGACTGTTCTGTAGTCCCCGTTGTGCCGGACAGGAGCGCTCGCCACCGAGGCGGCTGAAGCCATTTCAACCAGCAGTTTGCCCAGCGTGTGGAGCAGACATAGGAACCCACACTTGCACTCAAAAAAGCTCCCACCTTCGTTGTGCCTCACTTCCAACGGTGCTTTTTTCAGTAGTCTGTCTTTCTTTGTTTGTTTGTAAGGTGCTGTATATAACTTGAATATATTATGCACATATCCTACCCAATGGGTAGAAACCACACACAAAAAAAATGTTGTGAATAATGTAATATAATGTATAGACAATATAAGAATTTTAAGACGGCAGCATCAAATTTGTAAATGCCTACAGTTAAAAAAAAAAAAAACGTGCTTTGTCTTTTTTTTTATGAGAAAACCTGGTTTGCAAAGTATGCTTAGAATATGGTTGCGACACAAATACAAATTACTACTTATGATATTTTGCTATAAATAATAGTCTGTTGTGATAAGGATGAGATAACCTCTGTATTAAGGGAGTTGTTGAGAAAGGATATTATTCACTCGTTTATGGGAATTCCTCATCAAAGAACAAGCTTTTCGCAGCGCTTGCCATCATTTGGGTACCGGCTGGTGGTTTTTATTATCTACCCCAACCGACTAACAAATGTATAGTTCTACGCCTCAGATCTTTTAAAGAAAAGCGGAAAAGCCCAAACACTCGTCAGTCGCTGTTTTATGCCACGACTTCAGCCGGGCTCCGGTTTGATTTTCTACTCGCTTTGTAAATTGTTGGAGCGAAAAGCCGAAGCTTGACCACTGCACACGAGAGCCGTCAGCGCTTCCGAATACAGAAGGAGCGCGCGTCCGTACTCATAGATCTTAACTTTTTTTTTTGTTACTGTTCAGCTGTAATTTTGTATATCTGCCAAAGTAGAAGTCTGTGGGTCACTCAGCACTGCGTATAGGACGTCGGGCTCCGGTTAAAGCATTTCAGCTAACGTCGAACAGGAAAGCGCGTGAAACGTTCAAGGACAACTCGTCATTCCCTGTTTCGGTAAAGATTGGAAAGTTTCACCAGTGTGGAGAAAAACTAAAATGCCGTTCAAACTGTCATTTAACTTTTCTCTCTTATTATTTTTATTTTAGATTTTCTACATTACAAATGTTATATGTGGCACAGTATATTGAAACTTCATTTATTTACAGTATGTACAGAGAATAACTCCACTTTACGATAACCGCAGAGCATGTTCATTCTTATCTATAGGCGGTGTACATAGCAACGCGCCATCCTCCTCTTCAAAGCACCAAATAAGTGGCAGTTGTGTAGTTTTGATTTGGAAAGTAGTCTCTATCGTAACTCTGGCTGGACCTTTTTTTTTTTCTTCTTCGTTTCCTGCACTAGCTTGAAGAAACTAATGGGGGCTCGGACTCATCGTTCTCCCCCCGCCGCGCGCTCCCTCTCTCCACTTCTCAGAAGTCTGTACTCAACTGCTGACAACAAGTAGCTGTTTTTATCGTTCCAGATTTTAATAACGATGATGATAATAACAATGATAGCATCTCAACAGTTTGGTATTCTCTGTCTCAACGGTTACCATAGGACTGCTTCCAACATGGGTTTTGTATTATCAGTTTGCTTTATTTACAAAAATGAATCCTTCTTGTTCCCCCTCTGCTGAAATCTAGATGTGTGTGTGTATATATATATATATATATATGACTGTATTCAGTAACCATACAGTGTGTATATATTTATATATATCCAAAACGCAGAGGTAAAACTGTTGTATTTTTTGCCTCTTTTTATTTAAGCAATTGTGATGTAATAGGTTTTAGGCCTAAGGTCTGTTATTGCAATACTTTTACAGAAAAGACGAGAAAAAAAATCAAAAAATGTTGCTCCAAGTGCTGTTGTAGTCAAAGATTTTATGCTTGTACTTATGCTGTAGTCAAACTGCAGCGTAATGAATAAAACTTTAAAAGTGATTACTCAGGTGTTCTCCCAGTATGTTTCTTTTTCCCGCTCGCTTCGTCTTCTATAGGTAATGAGGTTTTGTAATGTGATCAGCGGAGCTGTCGCTCGGCTCTTTATCTGTCCTCGCACTGATGCAGCCAAACAACAACGCGAGCGGGAATTTAAGGACGGATCAGCTGCTCCTCAGAC